CTCTCTCTCCTCCCCCTTTTTTTCCGCGCGACTTACTTTTCCGTTCGCCAAGTGGGGCAAAACCAAGACGACGCCGACAGTCCCCCTCCCCGACGCCGAAATTGCTGCTTAAGTTTCCCTCTCCGCTGTTTTCTTTCTTTCCTTTCTTTTTCCTTTTCTTTCCCTTCGCGGAGTTGGCGGAAGAGAGAACGGTGCTCGTTTTCTCCCCGGTGGACAACCGAGGGTTTTTTTTCCTCTCCTCCTCTCTTCCTTGGGGTCCTCAGGAACTCAGCCGCGAGGTGTGGGGAGAGCCGGCCCTCTTTCTTTTTTTCCCCCTCTCTCCGTGTGCCTTTCTCCCCCCCGCGAATAAGCCCCCGCCGCCCCAGCAGCACCTCAGTCCGTCCGTCCGTCCGTCGGAGCGTCTCTTTTTTTCTCTCTCCCCCCCTCCCTCCTTTCCCTTTGCAGTCTCCTCTTCTTCCCTCACGCAGGCAGGCAGGCAGGGCTCCTGGCACTAGGCAGCGCTGTCACATGACGCCGGCGCCGCTCGCTCTGCCAGGCTCCCTTGGCCGGCGGGGTAACTAAGAGGGCGGGAAGGAAGGAGGGAGGGAGAGGGAGGGTCGGGTCAGGGAGGGGCGCCCGCGAATCACTCAAAGCCAGCCGGGCGGGCGAGCGAGCGAGCGGGCAGGGCGTCTCCCTTCAGCTTCGTTTGGGCGGAGGCCTCCGCACACAACAATCCCAGCCAGGGGTCGGGGCGAGGCGAGTTACTCTTTGGCTCCCGCCCTCTCTCTCTCCCACACATACACACACCCGCACAGACACAAACAAGTCGGGCACGCACTGACTCTTCCCTTTCCCCGGGAGGCAGACAGAAGACGACGACTCCTCCTCACACACAACTTAGCTACTAATTACCCCCAGCACCCAGAGAGATGAGGTGGGGCCGCCCCGCTGACAAACTGGCCCTTCCAGCTGCTGTACGCCTCAGCCTCCCTCCGCCTTCTCCACCTTCTCCTTGTCGTCCCTTGTCAGGAAAAGAGGCGTGTGCACCTGGCACCCGGCTCGGAATTGCACACACACACACAGACGCGCACACCCTCCCTGGAAGCAAACCTGCAGCAGCTAAAAACAACAACAGCGGCACCAACGCCCCCCAAAAAAGCCCGAAGGGAAGGAAGGGAGGTGCTCGCTGACAGAGGCGGGAGGAGACTCCTGCCGCTCAATTAGCTTGGTCATCACAAAGGCACACAAAAGTAAGACAACGGCACACGTAACCCATAGCAGGTGGATGGTGTCCTCTTTACCTATGGAACTTAAAAAAAATTATTACACAGTCCAATATAGCAATGTGGGTTTTCAAAAGACACATCACACACACCATTTAGAGAATTGTTTGAACATTTCATAATTTGTTGTTTTGTGCTGCCAACTGTGCCTTTTCCAACTGGGGGCAACCTTGACAGGTTTTCGAAGTATGTGAGATGATCAAGCAGTGGTTTGTTGTTGTTCCCCTGAAGGTTCTATGCCCCCATGGGGTTTTGAACCCAGATCTTCTGTGTTCTAGTTAGATAATACTGTATCATAACACCAAACTGGCTTTCATTCATAATTTACTACAGGAGTATTTTAAACTAACATTTCACTTGCTGTTTACCTATTGATCTAGTAGGGACATAGATAGCCATGGCGAAACTTAGCTTGGCCCTTGTCAGACATGAGATGGAATACTCTGTTTACCTATTACTTAAAAGCATAATGAGTGAGTTTAAGTTTTCTGGTGCCCCAAATCTGCTGTCTGAGGTACCTGTCACTGTAGTAGGCCTAACATCTTTATTCATTCCTTAAATTTATTTATATTCTGCCTTTCCATCAATAAAGAGATCCTGGATTAATGCAGTTTGGAAAACTTTATGGGTTGCTTAAAAAGTCTATGCCCCTCAGTGTGTGGCGACTGTCCATGACAGGTATGGTGATGATTTCCCCCTCATTATGAGCTGGATACCAGCAGGGATGTATTAACCCATGTCTGGACTGCTAGGCTTTCAGGTATTTCTGACCTCCTCCATGGAGTGCAGAAGGCCTTTAATCATTGGAGCCCTAGGGTGCCTCAGCAAAAAAATACAAATAAAAAAATTGACCCTGCGGGGCCCTAGGCTTCAAGTTCGTCAGCCTTATGAACAATATGGCCTTAGATATCAGCCCAAGCAGTTAGGTTATGTGAAGAAGCATTCAAATCCTATGTTTCAGAATTACTCGATCTTCCACAAAATAAATGATGGTTTTTAGATCGGGATCTCTGAAGACCAATTCAGGGTAAAGATACATATCTTCTGATGCAGGAAGGGACAGTGTTGGCTGTCCAGATGTTTTTGGCTTGTTCCTGTCAGCCCTTGTTATTGTTAGGGATAGTGAGAAAGCTGCAGTGCAAAAACATTTAGAGCACTGTCACTGCCCACACATGCTCTAAAATGTGATGGAAGTGGTCTGAACTCTCTCCAAAGCATCTGTTCTCATGGCCAGAGAATGCATGATCAAATGATTCCATCACATTTGGAACATCTATCCTGAGATTACACTTGAATCCTAATTGCAACATCACTGAACCTAAGAGGACTCAAAGAACATTAGGGGATCCTGCTGAGTCAACTTTGTGGAATTTGGTATCCATCCAGCCTACCTTCATCAGATAAGATGGGGGATACAGCATTGCAATGATTCTAGACTTTTTGCTGATTCACCCTGTAGACATTGGCTTGATACCAGTTGAACACCTGGATGTACCTCTGCAAGCTTGTTATTCTACTTGTTCCAGACAGGCTCTTGCATTGTAGGGAGCCCCATAATAAAGAACTAGGTGACAAGTGTCCAGCAGTTGCAAGTCTGCTGTCTGGAACTACTGTACAAGACACAAGAACTGGCAATCCCGTACAAGTATCTTTCAGAATTTCTTTCTTCCTGAGTTCTGAGGATGCCTCTTTAGTTACTCCGGTGCTTCGTGCAACATGTAGCAAGAGCCTGAAAAAGCTCAGCTGACATTGCTAGCCAAGCTAAAACTTGAAGTTTTCAGCTCTCCTTTCACATCACCTTCTCAATTGCCTTCCCATTAGGAAAGACCATTGGAGAGCATATGGTTATGCAATGATGGTCCATAGCAATTCAAGTGTCTTTGACTAGCGTTGTGCAACATCCTGTCTTCTTTTCCCAATGGGAAGAGCCATTGAGAGCACAGCTGATAGTGTTGTGCTGATTAGAGGCATCTAAACATGACCAGTCTCATGTAATAACCTCTCCTCTCTCCTCCATCTTTCCCAATGGGAACATCTAACGGAAGAGAGGCACTGAACCCTGCCTGTATCTATTTCACTTCAGATTTTCCTGGTTTGACGGCCTAGCAGTTTCTCTAAGCAGTGATGCTGCATTTGTCAGGATGAGCAAGGCAAATAGATTTAATGGGGATGAATAAAGGGAAAGGCCTCTCAGGAAGTTCTATTGGAATGGGTGCTGCTGTCAAATAGTATAAAGCAGTCAGTTGGGGACAAAAGGGATATGGTATGGGAGGGATAGGAATGAGCCAGTGCAGTGTAGTAGAGAGTCAAGACTAGGACTCAGGAAACTTGGGTTCAAATCCCCGATTGGCCATGGAAACTCACTATGAGGTGGTGGTTGCAGTGGTAGAACCATTCCTTACATATCTCACAAATCTTGGAAGCCCTATACGTAGAGTTATATGTAGTATACCAAAAGGTTGAATGGAAATTGGAGGTGGGGGAGGAATAGTCCTGTTCAGGTGTTAAAAATTGTTTAAATTAACTTGTCATAATAGGGAGTGTACTGTCCATTCCCACTCCAGTGTTGTTTTTCTTTCTCTCCATCATGTTTGTGATCATGAATGGTTTGGGACCTCGGTATTTGGCAGATTGTCTTCTCCCACCCAGATCTACCCGAATTATTTGATATAGCCAGGAGGGTCGGTTGAGGGGCCTAATGCCGAGAGAGGCCTGGAAAGAAAGAACAAGAAACCAGGCTTTCTCGGCAGTGGCCCATCAACTATGGAACAGCCTTCCATCAGAGATCCGCCTGACTCCCTCGCTGGGTGTTTTTAAGAGCCATTTAAAAACTTGGCTCTTCAGGCAGGCTTTCCCTCATGTCAATTCGTGAATACTATCTTTTCTGTTCTTTTATTCTCCATCTTGATCATGCTATATTAATGTTCAAATGTTTTTTTGATTATGAGTGTTGTTTATTTTGATTGTGCTGTTTTTATTGTTATTTAATGATATTTTATGATTTTGTAAGCCGCCCCGCTTCCATAGATAGTGGAGGTTTTCCCATTCAGACTTTTCACTAGAGATGTGCACTGTTTTCAGACAAATGTGTCAAAACAAACTGAATCAGCAGTATCTGCATGTTTCTGAGGTGGCTTAGCCACAGGGCGGAGTGGTACTCTCCTAAATCTTGCATTCACATATCATAATTGTTGTTGTTATTATGTATTTAAAGTGACCCTAATAAGGTTTTCAAGTTAAGTGAGATATTTTGGGAGTAATTTTACCAGTTCCACTCCCCCAAGTGAATTTCAATGGCCAAGTGTGGATTTGAACCCTGTTTTTGGGAGTCCCAGGCTTTCACTCTCTGCACTACACCGCACTGATGTAGAAGTGAGGAAAAAGAAAAAAAAACTCAGGAGGATAAAGGGGGATGTGCTTTTCATATTATAAAACTAAATTTCTCTGCATTATCTGCTGCAGAGTCATTAATTAAATCATCAAAGTCTTGTGGCTACACCATTGCTAGTTTCAATCCCAGAAACAAGGAAAGCAAGGGCAGAGAGAACAGATGGAAACAGTGAAGAGAACAGCAGGTTTCCTGCACTGCTGTTTTAAGAAGGAATCAAAGAGGATTGCGCCTATTGCCCTATTAAAGTTACTCACTCCCTTCCTTCCGGTGGCTGCCTTAGAAAGCCACTGGGGGCTTTCTCCGGGCAGCTAAAAAAAGAAGGGGAAAAATAAAAATAAAACAGGGTAACCAGCTTTGCAACTGCTGCTGCCCTGACCAGAATCCCATCTGCCTGGCCTCTTCAATCTGTTTTTGGCCTTGTCTTGCAGTTTGTGTTTTCCTACTCACAGGAAGGGGGTCTCCACAGAGAACTGTAAACTTGTACATACTGCCATGGACCTGGATAAGAATCAGGCTCTATGCAGTTGGTCCCAATAGGTGTGCCCTTCTATTTGGACATGGAGGGGGTGGATGGCTTCCACACATCTTTACTCTACACATGGAGAACAAAGAAAGCAGGGTCACCTGCTCCCCTTTCTCACATGTTCTCTTTGAATCATTTTTGAATGTTTGAATTGGGTTCAAATTATATACTTATTTTAGAAATATGACTAGAATATTTACGTGCAAGGCAGTGTCTTTTCTTTGATAACTCCAGAGGGAAAAACTCATATAATGGTCTTGGTTACTTTGATACATAATCTTAATTCAGGGTGGGCAATTTATGGCAATCCAGATGTTACTGTCCTGTCATCCACCACTCTCGTTTATGTTGACTACAGATAGTGGGAACTGCTTTTCAACAAGATCTGGAGAGGTTACACAGGAAGTATAGGCAATATAAGAATTTGGTGTCAATGTGCGCGGCATGACAAATCTAACCCCAGGGGCCACAGTGCATGCAATGTCAGCATCTATTTACGTGCTTTGGTAGTACTGAAATATACTCAGCACAATAGTTTTCTGTGTTTCTTATGAATTTGATTATTGTAATGATAAGGATAAAGCAGTCTTCAGTTACAACCAGTGCTTTAGTAAAAGTAAAATAGAATCCTGCAATGGATTTTGTAGCATTGTGTGTGTGCACACAATGTCAAGTCAGTTTTGACTTATGTAGAAGCTTTTCAGGGTTTTCCAGGTAGAGAACACTCAAAAGTGATCTACCATTCCCTTCTTCTGATGGCATACTGGGACTGTTCAGCTTGCCCATGCCACACAGACTGTCTGTACTTGGAGGAGACGAAGTGGTGAATTGAACTGGCTCCACAACCAGACACGTAAACCACTGAGTTATCCAGACAGCTTGTAGTATATTAGAAGGAAAATTCTATTATTGCAAAGTCCACTATAAAATTCACAGAAATTCAGATATTACTATAT